ATATATTGGAACTGTTCTAGTATAGAGAGGAATAAAGTAAAGAATGAATAAATTGGAACTGTTCTAGTATAGAGAGGAATAAGGTAAAGAATGAATATATTGATTGGAGCTGTTCTAGTACAAAGAGGAATAAAGTAAAGAATGAATATATTTGAACTGTTCTAGTACAGAGAGGAATAAAGTAAAGAATAAATATATTGGAACTGTTCTGGTACAGAGAGGAATAAAGTAAAGTATGAATATTTTGGAACTGTTCTAGTATAGAGAGGAATAAAGTAAAGAATAGATATATTGGAACTGTTCTAGTATAGAGAGGAATAAAGTAAAGAATGAATATATTGGAACTGTTCTAGTACAGAGAGGAATAAAGTAAAGAATAGATATATTGGAACTGTTCTAGTATAGAGAGGAATAAAGTAAAGAATGAATATATTGGAGCTGTTCTAGTATAGAGAGGAATAATGTGAAGAATGAAAAAATTGAAACTGTTCTAGTACAGAGAGGAATAAAGTGAAGAATGCATATATTGGAACTGTTCTAGTACAGAGAGGAATAAAGTAAAGAATGAATATATTGGAGCTGTTCTAGTACATAGAGGAATAAAGTGAAGAATGAATATATTGGAGCTGTTCTAGTACAGAGAGGAATAAAGTGAAGAATGAATATATTGGAGCTGTTCTAGTACAGAGAGGAATAAAGTGAAGAATACATATATTGGAACTGTTCTAGTAAAGAGAGGAATAAAGTAAAGAATGAATATAGTGGAGCTGTTCTAGTACATAGAGGAATAAAGTGAAGAATGAATATATTGGAGCTGTTCTAGTACAGAGAGGAATAAAGTGAAGAATGCATATATTGGAACTGTTCTAGTACAGAGAGGAATAAAGTGAAGAATGCATATATTGGAACAGTTCTAGTACAGAGAGGAATAAAGTGAAGAATGCATATATTGGAACTGTTCAAGTACAGAGAGGAATAATGTGAAGAATGAAAAAATTGGAACTGTTTGCACGGAATATAAACTTCCAAAGCCAACATAAAGATACACCAATATAAAACCAGGCAATAAATCTAAACATTGCTGAAATAAGAATAAATCTTTACCCAAAAATTGCATGAACTCAAAATCCACAGCGAAAACCTTTAATATAAAGCGACCCAGCATAGGAGGAACCCAATTAAAGTAGAGTATTTTCTCAGTGGATGAAGAAGAATAAGAAAACATTAAAATGTCCTTTGAATGTTTTTTGAAAATATAAAAGTTTGTCTAAACAAAAAAGAAGTTCCAGTTTTTTATTACAGAGTCAGAATTTTAAGTTTTCAATCAAACGGGTTAGGTGTCTTACTGTATACACAATCTACCATAAAGATATACATTATTATGTGTCTAGTATTTTGTACTGTGTTCAGTATTTATAAAGATATTATGTGTCTAGTATTCTGTACTGTGTTCAGTATTTATAAAGATATTGTGTGTCTAGTATTCTGTACTGTGTTCAGTATTTATAAAGATATTATGTGCCTAGTATTCTGTACTGTGTTCAGTATTTATAAAGATATTGTATGTCATCCTATACTGTGTTCAGTATTTATAAAGATATTGTGTGTCTAGTATTCTGAGCTGTGTTCAGTATTTATAAAGATATTATGTGTCTAGTATTCTGTACTGTGTTCAGTAGTGTTAAAGATATTATGTGTCTAGTATTCTGTACTGTGTTCAGTATTTATAAAGATATTGTGTGTATAGTATTCTGTACTGTGTTCAGTATTTATAAAGATATTGTGTGTCTAGTATTCTGTACTGCGTTCAGTATTTATAAAGATATTGTGTGTCTAGTATTCTGTACTGTGTTCAGTATTCATAAAGATATTGTGTGTCTATTATTCTGTACTGTGTTCAGTATTTATAAAGATATTGTGTGTCTAGTACACATAACACTGTAAGCTCTTGAAATCAATTATTATTCTGTCGAATGTGTCCCAGTCTTCTATAGTATTGGAGAACTACAAGATTTATTGCCCCCTGCTTCTAACTTCTAAGTCCAGAATTTTAAATTTATTGCCGAACACCAATTCACTTTTCTTGCTCTAATCTCTTGAAACCAGAGCCTGACATTTAAGAGAGTCTCGTTGAACAAAATTCCCGAGTTTCCTTTTCTGGGGTCTTAACATCTGTATAGATTTTGATTTAAGAGATTCGAATCAAATATAAAAAGAATATAAAAAAACTAAATAAAATAATATTTCATAACTAAAAAATCTATATTGACAAAATGCCTGACCCCATTCGTGAAACCCAGTTTCCAGAACTAGTTTTCATAACGATACCCTGTCTTAAGTTTTGGGCTCAGACTAAAAGTGTTACTGTGTTAACCGTAAACAATATACATGCATGTATATTATATACAACATGTCATTTAAGTAGACTTTACTGTTAAAAATTCGACACCCAGTAATTTTGAAGATTACAAAATATTCCTTTAAGGAACTGCCCACGTAGTTTGTAAGTGACATGCCACTTTAAAGGGACATGACGACATCTTTAAAGGGACATGACGACATCTTTAAAATCTTTCTCTGAGAAAAATGATATCCTTGGTTTTCAAACTAAAAATGTATAATTTATAAAACTTTTTTCCATTTAAAATTGACTTCATGGAGAAGAGACAAAGAGTTTTTAATTATAAATACGATAAACACAGAACAAGTAAAATAAATAAAAAAAAACATTTGGTATCGTTTGGTATCGATAGCAACCATTGTATCTGTATTGAACCATTTCTGGAAGCAAAAGTATGATTTTGCTGAACAATTGTTTACAATGTCCGAAGCACGGCCCGTTTTATATATGGTATCCTACATCATATTAGACCGAGAACGGG